CTCATGTGGGAAATGCAGGTTCGATTCTGGCCTGTGCTCTACCTCCAGTTATTTATTTTTTCCTAGACTATTTTAATTGTAAATAACATTTTCAAATGAAGTTTCCGTATAATTAAATAACATTTTCTTTATAAATTCAATATTACGCAGCAGCAGTATGTAACTTTTTCTGGTTAAATAATAATAAAAAAAAACCTTATTGAGCAAGTACATTAGACCTCAGCGTTCAAAAGGAAGGACATATTCCCACCCATTAATCAATGTGTGATAACAATGGTAGAACTGGTATACCATTTTCCACCTTGCTTTTAAGTCACTTATGAATGTCTGTGCGGCTATGTGCATTTTACTTTCGAATTAGTGGCAGTGTGTGTGTGTAAATTAGACGTTTTGCCTCTGGATGCTGCCACCTTCATCTAGCAAAGTTTACAGATTGCCTCATTAATGTTTACAGATTCCCTATTGGGTTTAAATCCAAAATATTGCCAAAAAGGTGCTTTATCATTTCGCTTTGAAACCATATCTTCCGCCATTTTCTTGTTGTTCAGCTCCTCACTCTCATGATAAGTAAAATCTGACTCCTACTGCTGATCTGTGCTGCTACTCTCATTTGGCTCACACTGAATTGAGCAGACACATTCAGTTTATAATTGTAGTGTCTGTTCTATAACTAAACTAAATCATTTTAATTTCTATCAACTTGAATAAACAACAGTGGGAAACGATGCCGCGGTGGGCAAGTGATGTAATCGGTGTGTGGCTGAACACAGTGTAACACCGGTTAAGCAATCATTCTAAAATTCAGTAATGTGATTTATTTGAAAATCTATATTGTCATTTGGTCAGAACAAAAGCGACAGATATGTTACTTGTTCAGATAAAAAAAATCAGATGTATGTATAGAATATACTTCTTATGAACACGTTGCTGTAAATGACGATGAGGTAATAATGTGATTCCGCAAGTAACTTGCAATTTTATGTTTCAAACAGAGATGGCGATAGAGAGGTGAAAGTTTCGTACTGCAACTTTAAGTTGAACAGAAATATCAAAGAGAAATGTTTTATTAAAAATGTCTTTATTATTGTTTTTTTTTTTTTTTTTTTTTTTTACAAATGACCCTTAGGTTGCTTAGTCTGATTCCAGCAGTGCTTCTAGCCAATCAGATGCAAAGGCAAACGGGGGAGGAGGGGTTCGTTCTTTCACCCTGCATTGCAGATTTGTCATGTAATAGACGGATGGGATGGATAAGATTATTTTGCTGAGAACAGCTTTTCCGCAACCTCTCTGTGACCTAGGTGTGCACGCTGTTTGATTTGGTGCAATGACCGTCATCCACAGATTTGCCCTCACATATAACTGCAAAGTCACATTTGTGCAATGTCACATTTTAACACTGTGAATGCACACATTTAGAAAGGTATGATATCTCCATAATGACATTTTCCCTAAATGTCATCTATCATTTGGAAAGACCAGAAAGCAATTTTATCTGAAAATTAAGCTGTTGAGTTTGTATGATGAGAAATATTATACAATATGATACAATTTAGAACCAGCCCTTGGTGGACAGTACTTTCAATGTATGACATAGCAAATTGAGATTGGAATTAAGATGAAATGGAAATAAAATGGAAATGTCAGTATTACATGTTCAGAATTTAATTATTGTAGACAGGAGCCAGCAAATATAAATGTTCATGTTAACTAACTGCTTAAGTAAATTTAGATCTTCATTGGAAAAATAATATCCTCCTAAATTAGGTATGCGTGAATATGTTTCCTAATTACATCATATAACATCAATCTCAATTTTCAGCATATGATCTTTGTATCAGTGAGGGGTAAAATGAGTATGAGGATTTACACAGAATTGAAGATTTGAAATATAGTAATACCTTTAACACTTTAATGCTTTAAAGAGATAGTTCACCCAAAAATGAAAACGATCCCATAATTTACTCACCCTCAAGCCATCCTAGGTGTATTTCATGACTTTCTTCAGCCAAACACAAGAGTTTTTTATTTATTTTATTTTTTTTATCCTGGCTCTTCCAAGCTGAATAGATATTTTTAAAGCTCCAAAAAGCACATCCATCCATCATAAAAGTAATCCATACAGCTCCAGGGGGACAGTAAAGCCCTCTAAAGCGAAGCAATGCGTTTTTGTAATAAACTTTATATACTATAATCACTGGCTTCTATTTACATATATATATATAACTATACAGTATACTATATATTGTATACTATATACTATTCTCTACTTCATAAACTAACTGACTTATATGATAGAAAATAAATTAAATAATAATTAGGTACCTTAATTCAGAATAGTACAGTAGTGTCATTGTTTGAGTAAATTGTGAATAGAAAAGAAATATATTTTTCTATTGGTTGTTTGAAATGAGAATATTATGAATACGGGAGTAGGAGTCACACTTCAGGTGGTCCTACACGTCAAGTCGGTTTTCCCTCTAGGAAATTTTCTGAATAAACGCTGATATTGCAGGCTTATATGGATACGCTTACCCCAGCGTGATGTGACGTATTCAAGCGTGGCTTAGCCTTTCTCCACTTCTGTCGACTGTGTTCTGGCTCGTCTGAATTTTAAATGGGTTTTGGGGAGTGAAAAACGTGCATTCAGTCAGGCGCTCCCAAATCTGTTTGGCTAAGGTTATGTAACAACAGCTGAGACATGCCCGGAAGAGAGGTAAATCACACGATGTGTTCATACATGCTTTGCCTCTCAATGCAAATGCTAGAAGAGAGGCGCATCGGTGATACACTTGGCTGCTTTGACAGCAGAATTCTGGAGCTGACTTATGTGTTTGTGTGTGTGTGTGTCAGGGGGTCTTTGCATATTTCGACGTGCACTGCTTGTATCAGGGTTTTTTGGGCTTTAGAGGTGGTTATGGCAGGACTTTTTGGAAATATTTTTTTCTATAAACTCTAGCACCAGGCCAGGGTGAAAATATAGAATGTCAATGCAAATCTAGTGCATATTATCCAGATTGGTAAAGTGCATGATTGTTGGTTATGTTGAATGTGTTGCTTGCAAGATTAAAATTATATTGTATTTGATCAATTATAGGGTGAATTAAATCCTTTATAGACTTTAAGTTGGCAAATTTATAATCTCACATGTGAAGGTCGTTTGTGTGGTAACTGATTTGGAAGTTAGCCATCGTGTTACTTAAACCTAATTATTTAAGCCTCAGAGAAAAGCTTGTTGACTTCATAAGCCATTGCTTTTGAAGGACAGATTGACTGCTGGGGGTTTTCAGAGCTACCGAGCGACTCTTACCTAATTACAGTGCTTGTCTTTGGCAAATAATCCTGTATGGAACATTAAATGTCAGGCTGCTTATGTGCACTGTAAAAAATGGCTGTAAAATCTACAGTTATTTACCGTAGATTTCACAGTAACATTACTGTGTAAGATTCTTACAGTAGAATACTGTAAACTTTACAGTAAGACCTTAAAAATCACAGTATTTCAAGTATTACAGTTGAAATCACAGTAGCCAAAACATTACTGTAAAAATCACAATTTAATACTGTAAATAGTAAAGTAAACTACTGTAATTTTTCTTTTTTTTTTTAAATCATATCTTTCTTTGTACCCCTTTCACATGGATGGCCCCAGATTGTTGTTGTTCAGAATTCATTACCGGAATATGATATAAATAGCCTACTTGATGGTGAGCTTTAAGTAAAAGTGTAATTAATAAATTAAAATGTGTTAACTTGTACTGTGATGCACCTGCTGCAGGAGCTTTCTATTCCATACAAAATATATTTTTAAAGAATTCACATAAGATTCCAAAAATATTTTTTGTTTGTTTGTTTTGTCACTTTAAATGTGTTTGGGTGTAGATGGGTGTTAATAGGGAAATTAAATATTTGATAAGCCTTATCTTAAAGTCCCAGTGAAATTATAATTTACCCTATTTACTTTGTTTTAAACTTCTCCAAAGTCTCCCCTGCCAAAAAAAAAAAAGAATCATGGCATAGTTTATATGTATTTGCATCCTTTTGATTTTAGCTATTTAAATAATAATTTAAATATTTAATAAATATAATGTTTAAAATCAATATAATATTTAAATAATATTTTTTTCATAATTTATGTAGTCAGATTGCTTAGAATCAATGTAAATTTGTTCATTGTGAAAACGATTAGATTTAATCAGTTAAAAAGTATGAATATGATTTAAATAAAGCTAGCTGTGGAACGAGGGTAATGGGATCGTTTAGAAGCGGAAATGTTGCCGATCATACTGCAGTCGGTAGGGCGGTACTGCACATTGAAATGTCGATGGCAATGCACCTGAAGAAGAAGAAAAAGTGCAACCAGCGGCAGTTGAAAAAAATCATAGGAAAAAATACAGTTCTCCTCGCCATCTTACACTGAAGAAGAAGAAAAAGAAGCAACCAGCGGCAGCTGAAATAACCATAGGAAAAAATACAGTTCTCCTCGCCATCTTACACGTTTGGAGCACCTTCTTTGATCAACCTGATTGCAAGGCAAGTTATATCTGTATTCTACTCATCGTATTAAAGTTGACTGTTTTTAATATAGGCTATGAGTTAATGTTATTACTGCTGTTGATATCGTATTACTTTATCAATGCTCTGACTATCAAATTTAGATTTAACGATAACTTAGTCCACTAAGTAGTTAACGTTAGCAAAGTCCTTTTGGGACAACCTCCTAGACCTTGTATATATGCTACCAAGGTTGTTTTTTAATAAATAAAAAAATCAGTAAGGCCTACATCAAATTATGAACAATTCATCTCAGTTTGAATGTTCTATGATTTAACATAAAAAGCATAACATTCCTAATACATAGTTAAACATATTTTACAGACACGAACAGCCTGATATCATCTTGCAATCAACCATATTTTCTTATAAATTGGACTTTGTAGTTATTTAGTTGTTAGAGTGGGCGGGGTTTAGGCAGTCTAGACAGCTCTAGAATCTGTGGGGATTCTGAGGGAAAAAGCGCGAAAGCAGCACTTGAATTTCTGAATCGTCGTCAGTCAGTGACAGAAAATCTAATTTTATACTCAAACGTACGTTTCTTTACATATGGCTTGGTGTTAGTATTTATGTATGTGTATTTATTTTGTCTTCGTCTCTGTTGATTTCTTTCACTTTTGCCTGAGAGCAAAAACGTTTCCGTGAGAGCTCCGACGGAGACGGTTTAACAGCCTCTTATATGCTCTAACGTATTTTTCTTTACACATTGCTTTGTTTCAATATTTAGCTGTCTTTGTATGAATTTTGCTTCCGTCTCTGTGTTTATTTCTTTCTCTTTTGCCTGAGAACGAAAACGTTTCCGTAAGAGCTCCGACGGAGAAGGTTTAACAGCCTCTTTTAATCTCTAACGTAACTTTTACACATGGCTTTGTTTTAATATTTATGTGTTTGTAATTATTTTGTTTTCGTCTCTGTGTTGATTTAATTCACTTTTGCATGAGATCGAAAACGTTTTTGTGCGAGGAGAAGGTTTAACAGCCAGCGTTATTGCAGTCTGTTAATAACAGGCTATTATTCACATTTACTTTGTACAGTCATTTGTCTTGTGATTGTATTTATTTTGTTTTCGTCTTTGTGTTGGTATCTTTCACTTTTTGTGAGAGCTCGGAGACGTTTTCACAACTTAACTAAATGCCTCGTTACAGGTACTATTAACTACCTAGCTAGCCAGGAGAAGATTTTTCCCGCCCGTAGCTGCTAGCCTCTGCCGGAGTTTCCCTTCACCAACTGTTTATCAGGACTTCAAGAAAATCAGTAAGTAACTTTACCATCACAATCAAGTTACTAGGAGCAAAAAATTAAAAAAAAGTTCTGTGCCACCCATGTCAGGCTGTGGAAAGCCACATGCAATGTTATACAGCTAGCACTAGGAGTAAGTTATAACCAGTCACGTTAGCTTGCCATCAAAATGAATTACACGTGTAAGCACTGTAATTTCACCACAGCTTCGATAACTACATTTGTTCGTCATTTGAGCATACACAGAAATTTATCTAACTTTAGATTTCCATGTGGCGTTGCAAAATGCTTTGCCACTTTTGTGACCCGTGGTGCAGTTCAAAGCCACATGTACCGCTTTCACAAGAAGACAGCTAGACCAGGACTTGAAAGGAAAATTGATGGAGTTGATTTGGCTTGCACTGTTGAAGGTTGTAACTATGTGTCAGCAAATTTTCCAAGCATACGTGAACATCTTCATTGGCATATTAAAGATGGCACAGAAGTGTCATGCCCTTATATTAATTGTTTAAAACATTTCCGTGTCCGTTCAACCTTTGCCTCACACTTGAGTCGAAAACATAAGAGTGTATCTAGTTCTCCACGTATTAGCCAAAGCTCTACCACCAGTGCTAGTACTAACATCACCTGTGCCTCCATGTCATCAGACAGTGAACTAGAACACACTTTTGAGACAGCCTTTGATGATGACCATGACAACACAAATGATAAAGTGGACACAGATGATTTTATGAACAATCTGGCCATGTTTTATCTCCGAATGCAGGCTAAAATGCTGTTACCAGCCAGTACAATTCAGACCTTAATAGAGGAAATAACAGAGGTGCACAACACTGGTTTGTCTCATCTATTGTCTAGGATGCACGAAGAGTTAACAAAACTCAATGTGCCTGAAAATGATATTAAGAGTATCATTGATAATCTCTCAAAAGATAACCTTTTGAAAATATGCAACGATGGAGTGTTTAGAACAGATCAAACTCGTAAAACCTTCTTTAAGAGCAGATTTAGCTATGTTGAGCCAGTCAAGACTTATCTTGGCATAGATGCTAAAGGCAAAGAGAGGTTCTACCAATACGTGCCCATCAAGGACACAATAAAATCACTCCTCTCTCAGAACTCTGTTAAAGAGCAGTATGACCAAGCTAAAGCTGACACAGAAACAAACCCTGATGTTCTGGAAGATGTGAGAGATGGTAGAAACTTTAAAGAGAGTATACTTTTACGAGATTTGCCATCTTCATTGTCTCTCATCTTGTATCAGGATTCTTTCGAAGTTGCGAACCCACTGGGCTCAGGCAGAAAAAAACACAAAATTCTGGCCATGTACATGACACTTGCAGAGATTGCACCACACAACAGGTCTTCCATTGATCCAATGCAACTTGTTATGTTGTGCAGAGAGGAGGATTTCCAATTTTTTGGGCAAGAAAAAGTGTTTTCCACTTTAGTCAGTGACTTAAAAGAAATGGAGGAAAATGGAATTGAATATGGTGCTGAGGAGAAAATAAAAGCATCTGTGATTGCCATTACTGGAGATAATCTGGGGTCACACAGTATTGGCGGGTTTACTGAAAACTTCAGTAAAAGCACACATTTTTGCCGGTACTGTGTCATCGACAGAGTGTCTTTTCAAACAGATCCCTGCAAATCTGGTCCTAAACGAACCATAGAGAGTTACAAAAACAGTGTGGCAGCACAGGCAGATCAAGAAATTAACGATGGAATAAAATTTGACTCAATTTTCAATCAGTTGAAATATTTTCATGTTTGCCAGCCAGGGCTCCCTCCATGCCTGGGTCACGACCTGTTTGAAGGGGTTGTTTCATTTGATCTTGCTATGTACATTAAGCACTTAGTGACAGTGGGCAAACACTTCACCTATGGTCAACTGAATCGGACTATATCACAGTTCACATACCAAGGCAGTGATGCAAATAACAAGCCATGTGAGGTTAAACCTAATTCAGAGAAGCTGGGAGGGCATGCTGCTCAAAACTGGTGCCTCTTGCGTCTCTTTCCTATTTTGGTTGGAGACAGAATCAAAAATCCACTTGATGATGAGGTGTGGCAGTTGTGTTTAAAGCTCAGAGAAATTGTGGATTTGATATGTGCACCCAAGATCCATACCAACCAAGTAGCACACCTTAAGATTCTCATTGAGGAATACATCCAGTTAAGAACTGCCACATTCCCAGAAAAGACACTTAAACCCAAACACCACTATCTTGTCCATTACCCAGAACTCATTCTTCAGTTTGGTCCTCTCATTAGGTTGTGGACATTGCGCTTTGAAAGCAAGCATTCATATTTTAAGCAGTGTGCAAGGAAACTGCACAACTTTAAAAACCTTTGCAGTACCTTAGCAGAAAGACACCAGTTGCTACAAGCATATTTACATGCTGGTAACTTATTTCCTCCAACTCTGCAAATGGGCCAACCAAGTACATTTGATGACAAACTGTACCAGATTGGAATTCAGAGAGCTGTCAGTCTCAAGGGTCTCCGCCCAGAACACACTATTGAAACACCCTCTGTCACTTTCAAAGGCACTTTGTACAAAAGAGGCATGACTGTTGTAGTGGACCAAAATGACACAGGATATCTACTTGGGAAGATACTGTTGATACTGGTAAATGAGGCAACTGTGCATTTTGTTGTCCAGCAGTATCAGTCTGTGCCTGTTGTGGATCTTGGTGTTTATTGCTTGCAAAGCAACTCAGAAGCACACTATCAGTGTTTGACTGTAGAGAAGCTTGTAGATTATTACCCTCTTTCTGTATATAATCAATTTGGTCTTAATCTTGTTGCTCTGCATCACTCTGTGTTTCAGAAGAATGAGTAAAATGGACTCCATTGAGAAGGCAATACAGACCGTGCTACCACAGCTGGATGGAGCAAAGCTTGAAACTTTAGTCAATGAGTTGGTGAAAGTAGGTGTTGAAGGACCAGATGATCTGCAGTTTATTCAAGAAGATGACATCAAACATCTGCTCACACCCATTCAGTGCAGAAAAATTATTCATTCCTTGAAAGGAGGTGAGATTAGTTGTTTTAATTTTTTATTGTATTTTAGTTGATCCGCTGCAATTAATTACTAAATAAATCACCAATCATTTAATCATAATTTTGTAAAAAAAAAAAAAAAAAAAAAAAGTTTTTCAGCTTGTTATATGTGGATGTTAGTGTATACCTTGTACAAGATTCTCTTACCTTTGGTCAGGCATAATGATAAAACTTGAGGAGTACAGATTGAGGTTGGAATTATTGATCAATAAATGCCCTTCTGGGTATGCAGTTTTCTGTTTGCTAATGGCAGCATATAAAGCCAAATTTGCTTAAAAAAAAGGTATATTCGGGAAAAATAAAAAATAATATTTATGCCTCTGTACTAGATTACTACTGTACTAGACAGTTATTCCATGCAAAACTACAGACCCACAGCTTTCCAAAGAGCCTAATCGCTTGATTATAGGCCCAAGTATGTAAGAACAGTGCAATACAGTATAGACGGACATTGGTTGCATTGCAATTGAAAACAGAATTTAAGATATTTCCATATAATAATAGTCCCCCATCCATGCAGATCACATAGTCATGCATTGCATTTTATCTTTTTTATTATTATTATTATTATTTTTATTTTAATTGATTTTGAAATACACCTGAATTGATTTTAAAATACACCTGCAGTGTGGTTGAAAAAAGCACATCATAAAAAAAATGTTAGTGTTAACATGTAAAATAATTTTGTTGTTTGTTCTGACCATCAGTTTACCTCAAATCACCCATCTAGGCTGATTAATAATTGAGAAAACCATGGCAACCATTTTGGAAATGACCCTTTTCCCAAGGTCAGATTTAAATAGATTTTTATTTAGATATTTAGTATTTTTTAGTATTAGTAATAGTATTTTTTTAGTATTAGTTAGTATATTTGAACTATACCAAAATCCATAATTTTTTTTAATCACATTTTGTTGGCTTAACACTATTTTGACCCACCTATAAGGACCTGACGGCCACCATTTTTGAAGTATTAGTTTAAGTACATCTGATACTATTGTAAACCATTAAGAAACCTTTTGTGTTATATATATATATATATATATATATATATTAGGGTCAAACCTTATTTTTACCTGCTATTCTGTGCTTTCACTCATACGTGTACGTGTAATACAGGTCCTTCCAAGCCCCAGCTGAGCCCTTCATCGTCTGAGCCACTGTCAGTTGCCTCTTCCAGCACATGCTCCATATCATCTATCAGTCCTATCTCTGCGTGGGTTAACAGTTTTGAGGTGCCATGGAACAAAGTCAGGCTGACTCTTAGAAGAGCAGTAGATGCTGGTGAGAGGCCAGCTCCAGATGACCGCAGACACTTGATAAAAGTCATTGTTGATGCGATGAGAGAGCATTCCTTGAACCCTACTCGCAGGGAGTGCGTGGTAGTGGCTAAAGCTATAACTCAAAAATATCCAAATAGCTTTTTAGACAAAAATGAAGAGGGGGAGCTAATTGGATGTGGGTATTACAGCATTATAAATCAGCTCAAAACCAGAGTAGAATATGTGAATCGAGGAAACACTCTTTCCCGTCTGAGGAATCACAAACGCAGCCAGAGAGATGAGGATGGTGATGATGAACAGCCAGCGGTAGCTAAATGTGCAAGAATCGACAGTTATGGGTGTGTTCGTTGGCAGCCAGAGGACTATCCAGATGGGGAAACATCAGCATCATTAGAGGAAAAGAAGCTTGAGATGATGGATATATTCAGCCGAGAGGGACTCAAGGGTGCTGAGAGAAGAAAGGTAGAAGACCTAATGGCAATCACTTATGCCAAACAGCGGGAATACATCAACGCAAAGCCTTCCCCAAGCATTCTGGATGTGTGCAAAGAGTGGCCATTTCTCTTTTCACAGAAGTTTTTATTGTCACACTTCACCACTCTCACCAATGTTGAATTATACACAAGGCTTAATGTAGATTTGGATAAAAAGGGTAAAAGAATCCTGGATTTCTTCAGTAGCCAGATTACAAAGTGGAGGAAAGAAGTAAGAGCTCTTCTGAGGGAAGTGATAAAGAAGGACCGAGAAGGATCTGATGGCCTAGCTGCAATGCTTGTGATGTTGGCACACTTCAAAGAGCAAGAGGAGTCACTTTTTCTCATTGCTGATGTAAGTTCCTTAATAATTTAAATCTTTTAGAGTTTTCAACAATTGTCACATTTATTGCGGAAATAATCATTTTCCCTGATTAGAAGGAAACATTTTACATCCCCTAAATTGTTAATGCAGGTTGATGGGCCTTCAATTGTTCAAGTAAATTCAGGTTTGTGTCAGGTTTATGTTATTGGTGGTTGAGCACTTTTTCCTTGATAGACCTCACCTCACATTATAACCCACATGGTGCAAGCTTCTATCTCAGTTCTTGGATAAATGCTGGGTAAAGTCACTGTTCACTGTGTGCTCAATATTTTAATTGAGAGAAAATTGATGTAGTGTTGTAGTTGCTAGTTATTGTGGTACTTAGTTATTTATTTTTTGTGTGTAAGCAAAAAAGGCTCATTGCTTCCTTATTAACAAATTTCAAAAAGCCTTTTCTATCCTAGAGATAATAAACCGTCTACCTTGTTTCAAGTAACTTATCTTTGCTTGCATAGGAGACTACCACTCCCGCAGACGCAGAGGCCCAGCTGTCTCTCCCAATCACCCCAAGGATCATCATGCTTGGTAAGTTTCACATTCAATATTAACAAATCATTTGAATGTTTAGGGCACAAGCAAAACAGTTTCTGGAAAACACGAGTGAACGCAGTTTGTGTCGTGTCATTCTCTGCCTCTGCACCAGTCAGGAACAGCACAGTCACTTCAAAAACTTAAGTTGTGTGGAGTAAGTTACTCCCTCATCTTTAGTAGCCACCTATAATGTCATGATTGCTATTTCAGATCGCTTGCCATGCCTGTATCACTCACTGTTTTCTATCAACAAAGCAGTTACTGCTGCTTAAAGAATTAGTTCACCTCAATGAAAATGAACATTTCCAAAGATTTTACTAATTATAGTAATTTACGTTTTTGTAGGAAAAGATTTCGGGATTTTTCTTCAAATGATGGACTAATCAATGCAAATTCAAAGGACTTTGAGTTGCTACAACGGGCTGTGCAGGATCCCAGCTGAGGATTAGGGTTCTCTAGTGAATTGACTGGTCATTTTCTAAAAAGATATATAATTTATATACTTTTTAACTACAATTGTTCGGATTGAGCTGGGAACTACGTCATCACGTCAAAAGGTCGAACATGATGTCACCGGCCATCTTTAGGTATTTCCGCGGGCGATATTGAGCTTGATCTTTCGATGTGAAGACGTAGGTCCCAGCTCAATCCGAACATTTGTAGTTAAAAAGTATATCAATTATTTAAAAAAAATTCTTGAAAATGACCAATCATTTCGCCAGATGAGAGGCTAATCCTGAGCTGGGATCTTGCACAGTCCGTTGGAGCACTTCAAAGATCTTTGAAACTGCATTGATTTGGACTTCAAAACTTTGGTCATAATTAAAGTCCATTATTCGAAGAAAAATACAGAAATGCTTTCCTCAAACTAAATTTCTCTTCTACCGAGGAAAGAAAGACATTTCTTTATCTTGGACGGCATTGGGGTGAGTAAATTATTAGGAAATTAATTTTGAGGTGAACTAATCCTTTAAAGGGATACTCCACTGGGTTTTCATATTAAACTATGTTATTCCCTTAATTAAGACGAGCTGATGCATACCTCTCTCTGTATTGCCGCAAAACTATGTTAGCACTTTGCTTAGACCAGTGCATTAAATATGGGCCAAAAAGAGAAGCGACCAAACACTTCCTTGTTTTCCCTATTTAAACACAGTTACTCGATTAGTGTAACTCGACCTAGGCTGGTTTAAAATGGATGACTATATTGTATGGCGGAATACCATAAAAAAGTGCTTTAGAGCACTTCAACTTGGCACAATAATACCTTCACTCGTGAAAAGTCCTCTTACCGGCTCCCGCTTCCTCGCTCTCCCCCTCCCTCTTATTTCCGTCAATGCAGCCAACGTGACATGCGACAAAGGGGGAGCCGGTAAGAGGACTTTTCACGAGTGAAGGTATTATTGCGCCAAGTTGAAGTGCTCTAAAGCACTTTTTTATGGTATTCCGCCATACAATATAGTCATCCATTTTAAACGCTTAGAAAAACACAACGTTTTATTTTGTGTCACCAGCCTAGGTCGAGTTACACTAATCGAGTAACTGTGTTTAAATAGGGAAAACGAGGAAGTGTTTTGTCGCTTCTCTTTTTGGCCCATATTTAATGCACTGGGCTAAGCTAAGTGCTAACATAGTTTTGCGGCAATACAGAGCGATAGAGTGCACGCACTGAGACGAGAGAGGTATGCATCAGCTCGTCTTAATTAAGGGAATAACATAGTTTAATATGAAAACCCGGTGGAATATCCCTTTAATGCACTGCTTCAAATATATGCATGCTCCCTGCCCTGATTTTACAATCATTTATGTGGAGAAAATCTTTTATAGAATGTATTGCTATGAAATATAATTTTTGTGATGACTCTTGTCTTTACTAAGGAGACACAATCCTGACTGCAAAAAAATGGATGCTGTCAATCGAGGGGAGGGTCGTAATCCCACCTGGTGCTCACATGGCGGACTTCACCACTGCCTTGGCCGCACTCTTCGCCTGTTACTATGTTTTTAATCTGGAGTATCAGGTGGAAGCCAGCACAACACTGGAGTTTGTTCAGAGGTATTTTTTATCTTAAATAATTTGATTGCAATGTAAAAGCAAATTGACAATTGAAAAGCTTTTCAAAATCATCTTCTCTCTTTAAAATGTTATGTAATAGGGTTGGGCGATATGGCTGAAAACTTTATCATGATATAAGTTTCATATTGGCCAATATCGATAATTATTTATATTTTTTATGACCTATTTGAGATAGGAGAAAAATATATATTACATTTTAAACATTTTTATTTTAAACCTAAAAGATTTGTTCACCTCAAAATGAAAATGTCCTAATCATTTACTCAAGCCAATGCCTTCCAAGATATCCATGTCTATCTTTCTTCAGTGGAAAAGAAATTATGTTTTTTGAGGAAACAATAGTAGCTAAGTTGGTTGTCATTTTGAAGTCCATTAAATGAAGATAAAATCCTGAAATGTTTTCCTCAAAAAACATAGTTTATTTTCCACTGAAGAAAGAAAGACATGGATATCTTGGAAGGCATTGGCTTGAGTAAATGATTAGGACATTTTCACTTTGGGGTGAACTAATCCTTTAACCTTCCTCCGGTCCATAGGCGTGATTGGCAAAGGACAAAAAAGTAGTAAAATATAAGGTGCGCGCGACTGGGGCTTTCACTTTCTCTGCTCGTTCTCTCAGTTAAACAAGCACAGCAGTCACTCATCTACATCACTCACTAGTCAAATAAGTCTTTGGCAGGACAAAAATACGCCTTAAAGAAGAACTGAACTGAAATTTGAGAAAAGGTGATATAACAGATGTATTTTATTTATTCTCATTGGTACAATTTTTAAAATGGCAGAATTTGATAAAAGGGATAAAATGGTAAGTTGAAAGTCTACCCGCACCAGCAGAGCAACCGTAGCTTGTAAATAGTCTGAGGCTAGCTGTCATGGCTGAGGAAACAGATTTTTTAGCAACAGACTATTTAGAGATATGTACTTTCGTCAGTGAGTACATGAAGGGTCTGACAATGTCTGCATCAATGTTTTATTTAGCCAAGTTACGGAAGCTCCGGAGAGCCAAAGACTCGATTCGCCTGCAACAAAAAATGTACATTAAATCGATTTTTCACCCATGCCTAACTTCCTCTAGTGTTTGGTGGTTAACCATCAAGCTGACCAGTGTCTTTCTGTTTGGACTTTAGTCGTGCTAATGTTGAGACCTGTCTCAGCTGACTTCTGTTCTACCTCTCTCAATTTCGCTTGCATTTGTTGGTGTTTTTGGGACAGTAATGTGTTATAATCTGCAAAGTCTAGGTTGTCAATCTGTGTAAATGGGCTTCCATTGGATCCCATTGCAACTGTCATTAGTGGCTTGCCACATGATCTAGTCGAACTCCGAAGAGGAATGGTTACCGGGAAAGTAGACAGCCTTGACTAACTCCTGTTGAGATATGAAATGCCTCTGTCATTGTTCCATCCCCTAACTCCTATACTCATGTTCATAGGTTTTTAGTGAGGATTAATCCTGACTCCAACAAGTGCACTGCCAAGGAGCAGATGAGCAAGACGACTGGGAGAGTGGTAAAGCGGAAGACTTCATACATGAACCCCCATGTAATCTCCTTCATCAGGGACTTCACAGAGTTCAATTTGCTTACTGACTAGATACAGGTGAGGTTCTGATAATAGATTTAATAATAATTATAATATAATTAATAATATGTGGGTATAATATAATTTATCATAATTTGATAATTATTAGGGATGCAGCGATACTGGTATCAATATCAGGGGGCGATACTGAGCTCAATGTACTCGTAAAAAGGTTTTTTTTTACTCTGAGACCAACAACCGATAACAGGTGTGTAAACAGTGTTTGTGTTTAGAAAAAGAAACGCTGATAACAGAGGGTATAATAGGGATAAAAAAGGCGTTGTATTAACGTTCTTGCTTGGTTATAAGAATGTTATTAGAACGTTAATAAATAACAATTTTAGGTTATACTTGGCGCTATTCTATTCTACAATATTAACTAATGGCAATACAATAGACCATCCTAAGTCAATTTATTGCAGTAATTCCTCTATCAACCAGTAGAAAATGCTTTGAACCCCTGATTATGCATGGGAAGAAAAGAAAAATTTCTTAATTTTGAAAAAAAAAAAAAAAGTGATGTAAATGTTTGGTCAAACCGCCCACCACTAGTAGGGCTGCAACAACTAATCGATGAAAATTGTTGTTAACGAATGTCATTATCGATTACAGACAAGAAAATCACTCACCTTTCGACGAAATTTGCCGTTTTGAAACCAAAATAGGTAACCTACGTAAATCGTGTAGATTCGATGAGAAAATGTTTGGGGGGAGGGGTATAATATATATATAAAGCCATACTATAGTATATTGTGAGATAGAAATTAATATTTAAGTCATTAAATTCAAGTTCACGTAAACTTTTCCCTCCACTGCGGCTGTCAGTAATTCTCCATTCAGCATTCAAACAGCACAGCGCGTCGCGTTCGGCAACGATGAAACTCTCCAAGATGATTAAATGTTAATATTATTATACTTGATCTGTAGATAAAGCAGGGAACCGCTATCAATATGCGGGAGACTCCTGGAAAGTCCTGGAGACTTGGGATGTCTGTATTTTGTCTCGAGCATTAGGCTGCGCAATCAGTTCGCTCACAACATAAGTGATGGATTAAAATAGCGCCACCGCAGAAATAGGTTAAATTAAAATGGTGTTTACAATGTGAAGGACTAAATATAAAGGTAGCTAGTTAATAACAGCAGCAGTAAAATATTTTTTAGTTTGTTTAGTCACTGTACTCAGTGGTTTTCAGCGAATACTAGTGCACTAATGCATAATTTTTCCTGTCCTTTTAATCAAGCCTGTTAGCTTGATGCACAAGTTACATCTATTCCGTTCTCTTTTTATAGCATTTGTCTTAAAGGGTTAGTTCACCCAAAAATGAAAATTAAGTCATTAATTACTCACCCCCATGCTGTTCCAACCCCGTAAGACCTTCGTTCATCTTCGGAACACAAATAAAGATATTTTTGATTGAATCTGAGAGCTGTGTCACTCTTCCATTGGCTTCCTAAGGGACTGGCTCTTGACGGCCCATAAAGTCATTAAAGAAAATGTTTAAATGTTCCATGTGCCTACAGCGGCTCAATTATAAGTTTATCAAGCGACGAGACTACTTTTTGTGCGAAAAAAACATAAATAACGACTTTATTCCACTATTCCATTACTTCCTTATGGGCGCATGCGCGAGAACTGAGACGAGGACGTTCTCATTCGACCACTTCTTGTTACCGGCTGCTCACCGCTTAGGAGTTTTACCGCCCCCTACCGTATAAGATGATAATAAGGCACACTGTCGTTTTTTGAGAAGATTAAAGGCTTTTAAGTGCACCTTGTAGTGCGGAAAATAAGCGTATGTACAGCGCGCATCTTCCTCTGCTTGTAAACAAAAAGTTTTGCACTTCCAGCTATATCAGCACATCATCTTATACGGTAGGGGGCAGTAAAACTCCTAAGCGGTGAGCAGCCGGTAACAAGTCGAAGGAGATCGTCCTCGTCTCAGTTCTCGTGCATGCGCCAATAAGGAAGTAATGGAATAGTCAAATAAAGCCGTTAGTTATGTTTTTTTCGCACAAAAAGTAGTCTCGTCGCTTGACATGGTAAAATCACGTCGGTTATAGGCTCTGATTTTGATTATTTTTCGGTTAATCGTCCAGCCCTAGCTTTTACACATAAATACCCTTGTGGCGAGCAGGACGAGGCAGAGGGACGTGAGAGAGAGTGAGTGATAATGAATGACACATGTGAGACGCACCTCGCATCTCTCACGTTCCTCGGCCTCGTCCTGGTTGCCACAACCCTGATTTAGGGTTTTATTAAGTTAAAATCAATTTTTTTTTTTATCCGATTAATCGAAAAAAGAATCGTCCAATTAATCAATTATCAAAATAATCGTTAGTTTCAGCCCTACACTATAGCTGCAGGGATGATAAATCGTGTGCCATAGTCTGCTAATGACACGTCCGATTCTCGAACTAATGACTCCTTTGAACCGATTACATTTAATGAATGGTTAACTGATCTGTCCAACACTGAACTTGCGTCTGAATCCGTGTATAACAAATTGGTAATGCTTTACAATATGCTTCCATTTATTAAAGGGACACCAGGCAGGAATGCTGTTTTTGTCAAACAGCGGCCCCTAGAGTAACTGTGGAGTACTTGTTTTTAACGTTACTGTCGTAAATACCACTCACGGAGAGCGTGACATGTTACATATACAATAGTACATTGTGTTTAATTTGTCGTTTAATGAGATCTAATATGTTGTTAGTGGTGAGGATTTTCACGTGATTAAATACATATCCCCATGAACAGTTTCCCAGCCTTACAGACACATACCTAGAATATACTTTAAACAGTTGAGGGTTAAACAGTTAAACCCCCAGAGTTAAACAGTTGAGTTTTACCATTTTTGAAACCATTCAACTGATCTAATGTGTTTTCTTCTTTAATTTCAGGACTCCAACTAGGATTCTACGTCCATGGTCAGGGCATGTAAGACTTTTGTCAAGTGGCAGGGGAAGTTAATTTTCTTTTCTGTTTTAAATGTTAATGCAAATGTTTTTATATATATATATATATATATATATATATATATATATATATATATATATATTTTTTTTTTAATGTTCAATGTTTTGCACTGCTTCAAAGTAAGTACGTCTATTTGACTGTGGTGTATCAATTTGCATTACTGTTCGCTAAATGAATTCCGTAACTAAAATTTTGCAACCGTACAATATGCATTGTGGCCATATTACAAGCATGTTGTCAAATGTCCATTATCCCTTTATGTTGTACCTGTTTTGTCATTCCTGTTCATGAAATGTTTTAAATAAATAACTGTTAACAATTTTCTTATTGTCTGCAGTTGATTGCAATGTTTTAGAAAATGAGTGATTATTTTAATGATGACTAATATTAAATCACCGTGATAGTTTAAATTGTACAGTGAGAAGCTGAATTTATCTTCTGTTTATAGTACAAAAACAGTGCTTAACTGTTTTTTATATGTAAATGCAATTGAAATCACAGTATTTATTATTTTTCTTCTAAAGTAAAACAATAAATACTTTAAATACAACTAAGATCAGTGTTTAATTGTTTTGTTTTATTTTACAGTGAATTCACAAAATACTGTAAATGGAAGTACAGTACCCTACTGTAAAACATATTCACAGTAACTTACTGGCAACGATTAGCCAGTAAGTTACTGTAAATACAGCTAAAATCACAGTATTTAATAGATTTAATTTCACAGTATAAACATAAAATACTGTAAATGGAAGTACAGTACCCTTACTGTAAAAAGTATTCACAGTAACTTACTGGCTAATCGTTGCCAGTAAGTTACTGTAAAATTTACAGTAAATTTTTTACAGTGTGGCATTCTGTCGTGAGAGTTTGTCCACTAGTGACTGCTCTGCAGGGTAACCCAATGGAAAAATTGGCAGAGCGGATCAATCAGTTCCAGATAAACGTCTTGGTTCGACGTGCTGCAGAGACCTCCGTGGCAGCGGACTGCCACATACACAACCCATCACACGAAAATGCAAAGCACAAGGTACTGATAAATAGCTGCAACCTGACTGTGATGTATGCATTTAATATTTCACTCTTGTCTGGGTTTTTTCAGTTCAGACTATTTATGAGTGTGTAGAACGCTTACCCAGCAAGCTGAGTGTGCCCAAGTTGTATTTCATGTGTGTGATGTGGATGCCCTGTAGTGCTGTAGTGTTTGCATTTGGGTGGGTGTCTCATCTTTGTTTTGCCCACACATCTTCGCAGACAGACAGACGGCCCAGTGCAACGCGGCCGTATTTGACAGACTCATAAATACGGGCTCAGGGAGACGGCAGCAAACTCAATTTGTTTTCCGAGCAGAAACCTTCAAACCACCTTTCCCTGTCACAACACTGAGAGGGATTATGAGTTTCCTTCAGCATTCCCTCATTCACCCTGACTCTGTCTGTCGCCTGTATCCACTGATATGTGATCAGGGTGCTTTACCAGGTAACACTTACCTAAAGGATTATTAGGAACACCATAATACTGTGTTTGACCCCCTTTCGCCTTCAAAACTTCAGAAAATCTTGCAGTTGATGGAGATTTGTGGGATGCCATCCAGGGCACGAAGCTCCCGTTCCACCACATCCCAAAGATGCTCTGTTGGGTTGAGATCTGGTGACTGTGGGCCATTTTAGTACAGTTAACTCATTGTCATGTTCAAGAAACCAATTTGAAACTATTCAAGCTTTGTGACATGGTGCATTATCCTGCAGGAAGTAGCCATCAGAGGATGAGTATGGTGGCCATAAAGGGATGGACATGGTCGGAAACAATACTCAGGTAGGCCTTGGCATCTAAACGATTCCCAATTGGCACTAAGGGGCCTAAAATGTGCCAAGAAAACATCCCACACCATTACACCACCACCAGCAGCCTGCACAGTGGTAACAAGGCATGATGGATCCATGTTCTCATTCTGTTTACGCCAAATTCTGAATCTACCATCTGAATGTCTTAACAGAAATTGAGACTCATCAGACCAGGCAAAATTTTTCCAGTCTTCAACTGTGAGCTCTTGCAAATTGTAACCTCTTTTCTCTATTTGTAGTGGAGATGAGTGGTACCCGGTGGGGTCTTCTGCTGTTGTAGCCCATCCTCCTCAAGGTTGTGCGTGTTGTGGCTTCGCCTTCACAAATGCTTTGCTGCATACCTCGGTTGTAACGAGTTCTTAAATGAATAAGACGTTTATTCGTTGTCTTATAAACGTGCCATGTGCCTTTATGATAATTCCCATTGAAGTTTTGTAAATGGAGAAAAGAAAAGGAGCAAGCATCGAACCTTGAGGCACCCCAGTGATTAACTAATGTGACTCAGACACCCCTCCTCCCTGTGACACATTGAAAGATCTGCCTGTGGGGTAAAACTGAAGCCACTGAAGAACTTTACCTTTGATGCCCAGGTCAAAAAGGGTGAATAGGAGGATCTAGTGATTTGCAGTACGTTTTCATTCAGCCCTGGGAAATAGGCATAAATTTAAGGATCAAGTTTTTTTTTTTTTAAGTAAAGTTGTTTGCCTTCTAATTTAATAATCATTAATATCATTAAAAAAATCATTATCAGACACTTAACAAATTAAATATTACAAGTGAAATGCCATTGAAAGGTGAATGTAAACAACCCAACCAATGATCCAATATAGTCAAACAAAACCACATCAAGAGTTTGTGATGGCATCAGATATCTGGATGTCTTTGGTAGTGGCTATTTTATTCAGTCTTCAACATTGAGAGATTCTTTGAGTAACCATTTTAGATCGTATAACAAAGGGTAAATGAGATCACAAGACTTATCCACAATGTCATCTGGGCTGCTCCAGAAATGTTCCCAGCCTTTTCATGCTACAGTTACATAATCTTTTCAGGGTAGATGTAAGAAAACAAAAGGAGTTTTTCCCTGGAAGTTGAATATGCTATGAAGTCACTGGTAGCTGGTTGAAGCTGCTGAAATTCTTATAAATTGTATAATAATATTTAACATGTAACAGTTTTTACTGTATTTAAATCAGTGGTACCCAGTGAGCGAGAGACTTGTAGAGGCCAATATGAATAAATCTATAATTTAAATTTAAAGAGACAAGATAGTCTGTAGTATGCATGAAACTGCCACTGGGTTCTTATCCAAAACAAGGCGATCTGATCATTATGGAGCGCTAACACTCGTAAAGGCGGAGGGCCCTCTCTCACAGAAAGTCCAAAATGGATTTGTGGAAGTAATAACTTATGACGTTCCAGGAAATCCCTTATACGGAAAAAGGCATCCAGCTATTCGCTGTAAGCAGCAGGTGAATAAAAAGATATACCAATAGAAGACATACCCAAAAAAAGATATACCAAAGTTATATTGAGATACCAATGTTTTGCTGACCTTTAAAGATGGCGCAGAAAGTAAAAACTTGTATCCTTGCATCTATTGCAAATCTCATCATTTTTACTTGTTTTTTGGACTAAGCTTTTCCAGGTCAGTATGTCAACATAGGGGTGTTTCTCCAAGTGAAAATACAGATGGTTCACTTTTATAAGAAAATGTAAGCTGGTTGTCAAAAAAATCGAATGCAATACATGGCATATGCCACTCTTTGTTTATTATATAAGATGAAAAGAAAGTCGGACCCTCTTTTTCACCCGAGTAGCAGTGCAAGTCCAGATACATATATGCATATGTTTTGGGACTGTTCTAGAATTGAGCCGTTTTGGTCCTCAGTCCGGGACTGGTTGGCAGATATTTTGAAGACTCTGATCCAAAAGAACCCACTGTTTTTTCTTTTGCTTGATGATTCTTCATTGTCACTGACTATTAATCATTCTGTCTGCTGCCTTTACTGCTGATAAAAAGGTTATCTTGAAACTGTGGTGGGCTCCATCTACCCCAGCTATGTCTATTTGGATGTAGTGTTTGCTGGGCATTGCTCTTTTGGAGTTTACCACATAAAGTGCTCAGCAACACCAGTAGGATTTTGGTTGGACCATATTGAGATGTACTTTGTATCCTGATTTTGATTTTGGGTAGATCTTGGGCTTTGTTGTAAATAGTTATGTTTAAAATGCATAATCCATAAAGAATAAATAAAAAATCCAATACAGTCAACAAATCAAAGACCTGCAGTCAGTGTAAATGCAGCCTTAGAGAAAGGTAATTCTGTGCCTGAAAAGATGCTTCGGGCTCTTCACCTGTACCCTGATAGCCAGAGAGAATCCATAACGTCACGCTCTCATTATCAAAACGCACTCCATCCAAAGTGTATCACCTGGAGTCACACTGGGCCTTTAGAATAAATGAAAGACAAAAAGAGAGAAGGAGCCAGAGGGAATAAAAAACGAGGTTACAGGTACTGTCATCAAAGAGTCCCCTCGGGCTCCTCTGGGGAAATCAGAGTCCGGATTCCTCTGTGGAAAATGGTACAGTGTGTCTCTAATGAGGTGCCACAGGTCTGACTGCACCTGTGCCTACAGTACGGAGGGGGCTCCATTACTGGGGTTAAGCGCTAGCTAGTAAGACGTCCATTTCCCAGTTAACCTCATCTTACAGACACCTCTTTGATATGCCACCCAGAGGCAAAGAGTTGCGCGAGCGGAGAAGCGCTCTTTGGTGTCTGGCATTGGGGGCACACACAGATCCCAGGGAATATTAAATTTGCTTGCAGATGTGCCACGTCATGAGGATGCTAATATAGATGCTAATGCAGGAGAGATTCTCCTTAAGGGCTTTGAGATGAACCATTCTTGTGTCTGAAATAAAATGATGAATTATGCAGTGGCTATTAAGGAGTCATTTTAATGGACCCCCATTTTAATGAAGCCCAGCCAGTATGTGAAGTCATGACTTACAAATAATTTGCGTATTGCCGTGTCTCACTCAGTCTCACTTTGAACCAGCTGATCATATATGGCTCATAATAGTAGGTCTGTAATTTGGGTGGAAGATTTGTTGAAGTGGCTTGAAGCACAGCTGTCTGAGTACTTGTCTGCTGGTCCCTCTAAACCAACT